GGGGAAGCGGGGGGCTGCCGGGGGGGGGTCCCCGGGTGGCGGAGGGCCGGGCGGTGATGCTGTGTGTGTGCCGGTTCCTTGCAGGCTACAGCAGCAGGTCCTCACGCAGGGCTCGGTGCGTTCGCTGCAAGCGGAGGAGGAGAGCGGCGGGGAGGCGGTGGGGGCCGCCTCCAGCCCCGCAGCCAGCCTCTCCAGCAAAGCGGCCACCTCCGCCATCTCCATCACATCCAGCGACAGTGAATGTGACATCTAACGCCACCGCCATGACAAACCGGGGGGGAGCGGGAGGTCCGGCTAACCGGTGCCTGCCTCCCTGCCTGCCGACACGGCCGGAGCAGCTGGGCTTGCGATCGCCCGGCCGCCGTCGCCAAAAGCCGGGGTACGGGGCTCTTCTCCCCAGCCACACGCCGCCCGCCCGATGCCTCCCTCCCAGTCCCGCAGCAGACTGCATTAAAAAACGTGATAAAAGTCGTTGTCGCCTTTATTTCGAAGGATTTGCAGAATTGATGCCTGAGAAAAAATAATTAAAGAAAGTCCAGAAAACGTAAAAAAAAAAAAAGAAAACAAAAAACCCGAATGCCAAGTTGCAAAATGTCTGAGCGCCTGCCCTTATCCCGCGGGGATGTTTCATGTTGAAAAGACGCTGTTCTTTTGGTTGGGTTTTGCTTTACTTTAAAGGGTTTTTTTTATATATATATATAATGTTTATTTACTTATTTAAGGGATTGCTATGGTAGATTTTTTCTATTATTATTATTAATTATTATTATTTTTGGCTTGTTCTCTATGTGCACAGGTGACTTGTAGAGCATGTGCAGGACGAAACTGTATGAAGCAGCCTAAAACCATAATAAAATATTTGGTGAACGACCCTCGCATCTGCTTTGAAATGACGGTGTCGGTCTCAAGCCCGCCAGTTTACGCAGAGCAGATCTCCGAGGCCACGGGGATTTCAGCAGCAGCTCGGCAGGAACCGAAATAGCCGGGTCCCGGGGACCGGGGGTGATGTTTTTGCGAGGCAGGGAGCCGGGGGGAGCCGGGCCGAAGCGAGGGGAGCGGGGCCGGGGCTGGCGGAGGATGCGGGTGCCCGGGGAAGGGAAGGAGAAGGCATCGCTGCAGCTTCTCCTCTCCCAAAAGCTTTTGGGATTATCGGCGGCGAATTTTCGGACAGGGACGAGGGAAAAGGAAGGGAAAACAAAAAAGGAAAAAAAACCCAAACAAACAAAAAAAAAAAAAAAAGGAGGAGAGTAATGGTTGGGGACAGCGCAGCCGGGGAAGCCCTCACCTGGCAACTGAAAGGAGAAGATGGGGAATGAACAGCTCTCCATGCCCGGGAAGGGCCGGATCGGGGGCGAAATCACACCAAATCCCGGCCCTGCGATGTGCCAGGGGCTGTCCCCTCCATCCGCCTCCCTCCTTTTGTTTTGCGGCGGTTTTGCTGGAGGAGACCAAACGCCAGGTCTAAGGAGCGTGCTAAGCTTTTTCCCCCAGCAGAAGGATTTTATATTATACAATTTGACATTGATCTTTAAATCGCCTGAGCTGTGCTTTTTTTGTCTGCTCGGTCTCATCGCGTTTACTTCCCTGTCCTCAGAGAGATGCCTCCCCAGTAAGCTGATTGCTCGGCTCGTTTTATTTAGCAGCCGAAGCCTTGTTCGGGGGAAGCCGGGCAGAGCCAACCCGCAGCGGCTGCGAGCAATGCCCCGGCTCCTGCTCGGCTCCGGCTCCCCTGCAAAGGCACGGAGGCGGCCGGGGGGGTCCCTGGGGGTGGGCACGGGGGCCAATTCAGCTCCGTGATAGATTAATTCAATCGTGCTGCCTTTTATCCAGAGGTATATTCCTGCCTCGGCGGTGGCTTTTCCCCTAAGTTAGCATTTAAAGCCTGAAAGGCGTTGGCACCGCCGATGTCTAAATTTACGTTTCATCCCCAATGCATGTGCCTTGCTTTTCCTTACAGACCATCCCAGGGACGGGGCAGGTAGCAGGTATTTATTAGCTGGTTTTTAAGTCCATTTACAAGCCACTATTTCCCTGGCGGGGTGTAATTCAGGGTGTCGGGAGCTGTGTTTTGCCAGAGCGGCGGATGGCAGGGCAGGGGAACGGGGGGGTTTCCAGCTTCTTTTAGGGGGTACCCACCTGCGGGGGGGGGCTGGAGAGCACCTTGCACCCCAACCCTCTGCCAGGTTTGTTGCCTCTTAAACCCCAGCGGGTTTGTGCCCGACAGAGCCGTGCGTGGTTTTGCTACTCAAACCTCAAACGAGGTGGGGATTTTGCCTCGGTTTTGGAGTTGGTGGGTTCGCTGGCGGGCAACGCTTCCCACCCACGAGTGTTTTGGGGGGAGCAAAAGCCGTTTTCCCCCTCAAAAAGGAATCGGCTGAAACACACCGTATTCTTTCTTTCCTTCGCCGGGAATCGGTGAAGCGGATTGCAATTTCTCCATTGGCTTCTGCTGGCATTTATTGTGGGGAATTAAAGCTTTCGAAAAGACATAGAGAGAGGTGGAGAATTAGATGAATATACAAGCTCAGCCTTTGATAACGAGGAATGACTTTCTAACTAAAAAAAGCTGGAATTTGGACAATAGGCAACGGCGTGAATATTATATATTTCGACAAAGGGTTTAAGTGGTCTGAAGGATGCTGGATCTCCCGAGTGGGCTATGGAGGGACCCTCCCGGGGATGCCCCGTGCCCCCAGCCGCAGCGAGGGCACAAAACCTTTCCCCTTCCGAAAGAGCGGAGCGGAGCACGGAGCCACCCTGAGAAGGGCAACCCCGGTCCCCGGGCTTGCTCGGGGTGGGAGAATCAGGAGAGCTGAGCATCCCCCAGCCCCGCTTATTCACCGCCGGAGCTCCGCAGGGACCGGGGCCGCGGGGCTGTACGGATAAGACCCACGGAAGAAAAACGCTTTCCCACCCCACCCCCCCTTTTTTTTTTTTTTCCTTCTGCCCTTTCCCTTCCCTCATTGAAAGGGAATGCCCTTCCCCTGGCATTTTCAGCAGGTTTGGGTTTTTTTTTTTCTAAAGATCAGCCCAAGCCATCGCCCTCCCGAGCCTTCGGCTGTTTTAAAAATAATAATAATAATCGGGGAAGAGGGAGGGAGCTTGTATTTACATTAAACAAAACGCTCAGAAAAGGGTCGCTAAAAAGTCTGCCTTGACCCCTCTCTCTCCGGTTTAACAAAGAAGGAAAATATTGTATCAAAAGTGAAGTGAATGAGGAGGGCGGAGAAGAGAAACGGCTTTTCCTCTATTCAGCTGGGGGGGTGGGGGAAGAAATGTTTGAATATTTCCGTTTCTTTTGAGAAGCGGGGCAGCCCCGGGCAGGGCTGAATGGGAAAGTCTTGTAAGCGGGCTGGGAGGCTGTCAAACTGCTCAGAGTAATCACTGCTAATGAAGGGGTCTCCAGCCCTCCCTGGGACAAAGGATGCTTACGAGTGCTCGCCGGGGCTGAATAGCTAATAAGTTTGCAAGGGGGAAAAATGAGTGAGCTGTCCGTAAATTGATTTTGCAAGAGCAAAAAAAAAAAAAAAAAGAAAGCAAAAGGCTTGCAGGTTGGGGAGAGCCTGGCCCCGGTGCAGCAGGGGACAGAAGGCCCACTTATCCGGGACGCATTGTCCCAGCCCCAGCGCTGCAGAGGAGGGCTGCTGCTGTTTGCGCTGGAAACCGGTGTGGAGGGCGGGCTGGGGGATACAGGAACCTTGGAAAAGCCACACTGGTCTTTCCAGGCCGGGAGTGCTGCCCCAGCTGCTGCCTGGCACACGCGAGTGCTCCCCACACGTCCATCTTTGCGCTCCAGTTTGCACCCGCCTTGCAGAGCACTCATCCCGGCCCCCAGCCCGATCCCACAGAAGGGAGCGACTGTTCCCTAATTCTCCTGCCACCCCCTTTTGCTCCTTATCTAACCATGGCATTTTCTTTGCAGAACAGAAAAAAGGGTGGGTGTCCGGAAAGCTGTTGAATATTTCACTTCCACCAGCACCGGGCTTGGGAGGGTTCCTTTACAACGGATCCGCTTTGGCTTGCTGGCCTGGGAGCTGGGGGGGTATCAGAGGTTAGAAAGGAGGCTGGGTTCATTGGGAAGCACCCTTGTGTGACAATAAGACCATGTAGCTCAGAGCTGGGGGAAACATGAGACTGAGCTGCATTTTGGACCTTTCACGCATCCAATTAAAGGCTTGGGAGGATCAGACTCTATCACAGATCCAGTTACCCCTGGCCGATGCAGGGGTAATACCATGAGAGAGAGTGTAACACTCCCCAGCGATGTCTGTACCTGCCTCTCAGCAACACTGGGCACTGGCTTTTTTATATTCATATTATTTCTTTCTTTTCCAGGAGAAGATCCAAATGTGCTTGCTGGAAGGGAGGGTGGAAGTGTGGGAGGCCAAAGGGAAAGGGCACTGTGGGGTGCAGAAGCTGCCAAACTTTGACCTATCCTCTCCCTTGTCCCCTCCCCAAGGCCACCCTGTAGCCCCAGCACCCACAAAGGACCCTGAACCCTGGGCTGACCTTGGCTTGCCCCCCCCCCCCCGAGGGGGGCCCAGAGAGTGAGACCTAGCTGGGAATCAAGTGAAGGAACATGACCATCTTAGATCCCCCAAGGGATACAGCACTTTGCACTCTATTGGCATTTATTCTTGGCAGCGGGGTGATGGATAAAGCGCTTGGATTTCTGTTCCCTTCTGTTTCAGGACAGGCTGCAAGACCCCCAGAAAAAGGCCAGGAAATGGCTCCCCTCCCTTCATTACTTGCTACATTCAGTCTAAGCCCCCTGCCAAATGCAGAAATTCCCTAGAGAGCCCATTTTAACCTTGCTACCTTCTGATCTGTGACATGGACCTCTCTGGCACACACCTTGCCCCGAAAGAAATATGGTTTGGAGGGAACTTTCCAGCTTCAAACGTTATAAAAGCAAAGTGGGTTCACATATTTGTCCCCTCTGCCTCTTCCCAGAGGTAGGGGAGATGCACTGTGTCCCCACAACCCTCCACACCTCGTTAGTTGTCCCCTTACACTTAGCAGAGTTGGTGCCACTCCATCCCACTGGACTCAGCCCTGGGACATCAGCCCTCAGCACCACTTCCACTCTTTCTGTCCCAGAAAGCATAAAAATGGTGCCAATCACCCAGTGCTTCCCCTCACAGACTCTTCTTGCACCGCATAAAGTAAAACCCAAGGGGGATTTCTTGCATCTTGGGATTGCCCTATAGCGCTGAGCTAAACCCCCACTGTGGCTTTCCCCACCATGACCCA